CGAGCTGATCCTTGTCGACGCTTCTCCGTATGTCATCCAACAATATCGTCGCCGCATATTCAGTTGATAATTTGGGCCTGAAACCATATTGGTATTTTGACAAGAGCTTGTTTGTGTCTAGAAATTTCATAACTTGACGATGAACAATCTTTTCAATCACCTTGGATAGTATCGGTAAAACTGAAATTGGTCGGTAATTATCACAGTTAGAGCGTGCACCAGATTTATGAGTAGGAATGATTTTAGCTGCCTTCCAGTCCGCGGGAAAGGTACTGGTCATGAGTGACATATTGATAAGATGGGTCAAGGGAGCCGATATTGACTCAGCAGAGTCCTTTATCAAACCTGGTGGCAGATCATCTAAGCCAGTTGCTTTATTTCTCTTTATAGACTTAAGTTCACGCTCAACTTCCTGTTTTGATACCTTTCTAAACATAAACTTTCTAACTGTTTTTGTGGGTAAGTTGGGTTGATTTCTCCATGTGAAGTTACATAACGGGAAAGCCTTTTCCTTCAAGGTTGTTACGATATTAGCAAAAAAGGAGCAAAATGCGTTTGCTATCTTGCTTGGGTCTTTTACTTTATCGCCGTTAATTTCGAAAGATTGAGGACTTTGTTTGTCGCTCGACTTGGTTGGGTAAATTGATTTTAGTGTTTTCCAAAACTTATTTGGATCCCTTGAATTTTCTTTCAATAAATCCTTGTGGTACATTGACTTGGCTTTTCTGACAGCTGTATTCACTTTATTACGCATGCATTTATATGCTGAGATGTCTGTTTGATTTTTAGTACGTCTTGATTTTCTTAACAGTTTATCTCTTTCATTCATAAGACGCTTCACCTCACTGTTTAGCCACGGTGCTGGCTTTCCCCTAACTTTCTTGAATATTCTCGGGGCGTGATGATTAAATACATTTTGAAGGATGCTTTTCATCATCGACCAAGCCTCGTTCACATTTATTTGGTTATAGAATGGAGCCCAGTCCACATTTTGTAAATCTGATTTCATATTTTCCGGATTATACATTTTATAATCCCGACAAGTAATAACCCTCGGTCTAAAAGAACTGTTATTTATTTTACGAACGCAACCAGGCATGTCATGATCTCCAATGCTGGTCGGTATGACGTCATGTTTTGCGATGTTCGAAGGATTATTTGTAAGGATGACATCAATCAATGTTTCTGTAGTTTCTGATATCCTCGTAGGCTTTGCAATAATTTGTTTCAAACCAAACACACTGAAGATTGCTTTCAGCTCTTTGTTGTCATTTTCAATTCGAAAATTTATATTCGCATCCCCAAGAATCATACTTTCTTTGCACTCTTCTGCAGCCTTTGTTAACAAGGAATTAAAGCGTGCGTTGAAATCCTTTCGCAGGTATTTGGAACTATCTGGAGGCCGGTATATTATTGCGATCAAAATACCTTTGCAATGTTCACGACTAGGCCAGACCTCAATCCACATAATTTCCAATTCTTTGTCCTCGAGGTCTTCTCGCCTGTCCCAGGGTACCTTATTGGAAATGTAGGCACCAACACCGCCCCCTTTTCCAGAATTTCGTGGCCGGCTTTCAAACGAATAGCCAGGGATATCATACAGTCCATTATTTTCACTGTCTTTCTGTATGTGCGTTTCACTTAGGGTTAGTATATCGATCCCACTGAAGCTTTGAAAAAGTTCTGAAACAAGGTTTATGTTAGAAAACAATCCACGCACGTTTTGATGGAAAACTGCCAAGCCTCTCTGTTTAAGTAACTGTTTCAAAGCCGGGATTTCTCTGCTGTAGGGACCAGGACACGATTCTATATCACCACTCATCAGAATTAGGAGACACAGGAAACTTTGCATCGAGCTTCGGACATGAATATCGCGCTTCCCTCTCTTAGCTTGCCATAAACTGGATAATATAAACGTCTCCTTGCTGCTAGCAATTTCTTTTCCTGTGATAGTTAACCCAATTGAATCTGAGCCAACAAAAGCAATCTTCTTTACTTGGAAATTTATGATCACCAAGAGTAAGATGCAAATAAATTTCAGCACTACCGACATGTCTTTCACCTTTCGCGGACGTGACATCGTGACATCATATGGCGACTGCAGATGTCTTATACTCACGACCATCGCAGCATTCTAGCAGATTATTAAGCGTTTGAAATAAAACAAGGAAATATCGTTAATTTTCAACAGCATTAACTACCTTGGTTTTAAATTGCAATCTTTTCAGTCTTAAATGGCACGGGAGACCTATGCTCAGACGGAACACCATATTTTGATGAATATGCTAGTGTTTACGGAGGCAAAACAACAAACTGCGAGCAAAACAGAAGAGACAAACTTTGTTGTGACATCCAAGACAAACAAAAGGGTATTGAGAAAGGGAGGAGGTTGCAAAAATTTTCACAGAGGCACTGTTTTCAATGAGGCACTGTTTTCTGTCAGAAAGAAGTCTAGAATCTAGATTTAGTGAGTGGATAGCACCTACCCCTCCCCCTGGTACCACAATTCATGAATATGAATAATAATGTTGTCTTAGGAACAATTATCAATGCATTATCTGAAAGACCCTAGCCTTGGCCTGGAACTCAGTCAAGCTTTTTGCTGGATCCGCCCCTGCATGGGCAACAAAAAGTATGTTTCATCCTGTCCGAAACGAAATCATTAGCAATACATTTCTAGCAATACACTCTTTTTTTATAAGAACCAGTAAATTTCAGTTCAGGCTGACTGTTCTTGATTTTTTCCAAATTCTGAGGCTGGATTGTTCTTAATTTGTTCTTAAATTAAGAGGGTGTAAGCAGTGCTATTGCTAGCTTTTTCGCTCTAAGGAGGTGTTCAGGCCTCATTTTCCAACAAAGTGAGTGAGACAGCCTTAATTTGCTGACAAATTTGAATATTCACCGAAAAAGCACCCACACATCGCTAAAAATCCTCGATTTTGAGAAAAAACGTTGTTCAAAATTGCATTTTGCAGAAGCTCAGCCTCAGCTTGTTCTTAATTTGTTCTTAACTTTTGACCAGTTTTGAGGATCATGTTCTTATAAAATTGTTCTTATAAAAAAGAGTGTACATTGCAATACAATGCATTACTAGCTTAAAATACATTTCAGAATATTTCTTGAGGTCTTTTCTTGCAAGCATTTTGTTATTTTTAAGGCATGATTTTAACGTTTGATTAATTCCAGTCTTATAATGGAAATTCGTTACTTCATGGGGCACCATAGACCTTGGCTTATTCCTTTGAAATTAAGCAACACTGTAAAAGGATTTATCGCACTATTCTTTTCTTCTATTTCTATTTTTTCTATTCTTTTTATCCTCTTAAAAGCACTTTTTGCAAGAACGTGAGGGGGCTGGAGCCTTGCGCCGCCCATGCCATGTAAGATCTTGGTCAATAATAACTTCAGAAGCCAGGGCCGTAAATCCCGCAGGGGACGGGGGGGACTGGAACCCCCCAAAAATCTGGAGCAAAACGATTTTTTTGGAGAAATTACCATCATTTTCCTTGAAAGAAAGAAATCCCTGGTAGCCGGGTTTGAATCAAACTACGTTATCTGTGTTATTGCAACAAACCTAAGCCATTAAGGCTATTTTTGTAAGCAGAGTGGTTTTAATAATTTTTTACAAGATAAAAACTTACCGTTTTCTACCGTCTTTTTACCGTTTTTTACCGTTTTCTACCGTTTTATTTTTGAAACCAGAGTATGAAATAAAAAGAGAGCAGTCTGTCATTTTATTTGACCTATTTACTAACTTATTTACGTACATTTCTATTATTTGTCTATTATTTACTTTTATTTAGTAAATCACTTTTTGTATCATTAAAATGTATTCATTTTTTATGTTTAAACATGGCCTACTGAAATCAGTCAAAATAAGGAAGACGCACATTTCTGTTCAGAAAGTAAATTTCTACCAATCAATACAACAGCGTCCCATATTTTCCCAAAGTCTGTCACCAAGGTTTAAGCATAACACATACCATAAATCCCTTGTGGTGCCATGACCCACTGCATACTTTATATTCATTTGATCTGCTGACCCCCCCAATTCACATGAGAGATTTACGGCCCTGTCAGAAGCTTTTGTTGAGTCTGAAGTAATGGCTGTTCTGAAGTAATCTGAAGTAATGGCTGTTCATTCATTTTCACCTCAATTGCTTGATCTTGTTGGTTTCTTTTCGACTTTGAACGTTTTTGCTGTGTCGTGACCAGAAGAGACTTTGTTTTTTCTACATTGACAGCCATCTTGTTTTCACTGCACCACGTTGCGATTTATCTAGCAGATTGTATGCATCATCATCAGTCTCGGTTTTCAATAAAATTATGGTTTTCAATGGTTTTGAAAGGTTTAGCCAATACAAATGTTCCTGTGGATAAAACCCCCCACTTACCTTGAGGATACCCAATTTGTTTTTCGGGGAATCGGGAATCGGAAATTTTTTGTGAGCGGGATTCGGGAATCGATTGTGGAGAATCGGGAATTAGGCTAAAGACAGGGGATCAGGGGGCCTTTTGGGTGTCCTCTATCTCCCTTCGTGGGTACCTTTATAGGTTTTGAGGTACGGGACGGAACGACGTGTCTAATATAGAGATTTAGGAGCAAAGGACATTTTTGATATTTTAGTGATTTTTTTGCTTAAAAAAGGTTATTTGCCTCGCGGAAATAAGATTATGGTTTTAATCATGTTTGCAGAATGATTGTTCACATCTTTCCCGACACGTTCAGAATTTTAGGGCCAAATTTTGAACCAAAATGGCACGTCCCCGCCAGTCCCCGCCCAAAAAAAATAGGCTTAGTTGTCCCCCGAGCTTTCCCCCTCCAATCTTAGAGCAAGGAATATAAAGAATTCCAAAATTTTAATGAAGCTAGAAACTTTGAGATTTAAATAGATTATTGACTCAATCGATGGTCTCCTCTTTAAGGACAGTAGTAAAACTTGTGCGTAAATCAGTAAGCGTAATATACACACCCTCTTAAATTTGCCTCCTGTTGAAAAGCTTGAATGCGAAAGAGGCATTTCCAAAAGCGTGGCGAATGATTTGCAAACTTGAAAAACGGCTCTAAAACATCCAAGATGTAAATAAACAAGATTTGTTCGATGGCATGGAGGAGAAAAAGGAATCAGTAGCTGCTTGCGATACTTTAAACATCGATTCTGGAAGAAGTGTCGCCAAAAAGAAAAGAAAACATGTTCATGACGCAGATACAAAAGTTCGTACTCCAACCCAATCTCCGTCCAAGCGAAGATTGATAGATAATTCGAAAACAGGCTGTAAAAGTCCCAAGAAAAGGAAGACTGCACATGATGATAACGCGGAAGAGCAATTAGCCGATGATGACGATTGGTATGATTTGAAGTAGAATTAGTTTGGGTCCCATATCTTCTTGGTGTCAAAATTTTTTTTCTTGAATTGCTTTGTACCAATGGCTTCATTGAATTTTCACCAAGAACATGCTCTAAATGCTTACTTGTCAGATGCTCTGTGCCGAAAAGGCTCCAATTCACCCTGGTGTCTGATTTTGTCTTTAGAAGAAGAAAAAAAAAGAAATTGGCAGTTAAAAAGATCTGTATATAGAAAATAATAAGATACAAATGATAATTTCCATAAAGTAATATGATATGATTCTGTTTGGATAAAGTGGGAATATTAGGCAGCCCTATCGAGTTTCAGTTTTGAAAATGAGTGAGCTTTTTAAAAAATTTGGAATTTTTTTGGTCTGCTTAACATCTCAAGGCCATTGGCACTCAAAGAGAATCAATGAAATACCTCTCTTCAAGGAAACACACATTACAGGCACACTTTTTAGAGGATGCCATCACCATCAGTTTGATTACCAGATTCTTCCAAATCTTCCTTGGCACTCTTCAAGGGATATTATTATCATCCTGTGGATTTCTGGAAAAATACTAGGTTTCATAGTTGCAATAGAACTAACCCGTGTTTCATGTTTGCATGCTTACAAGTGATTTTACTTAGTTCTGCCAAAAGTATGACACAGCTTGACCTGTGTGGATAGGATGTTATCTTGACATTTACTCTTCTGTAGCTAGGCCTTTTTAGGAAAGTAGGATTTTTATTCTGGAAAAAGTAAATAATTTAAACAAAACAAGAACTCTGCTTGGTGTGTCTGAAAGCAATAAAATACTGAAATGGCATGTATCATGCAAAATCTGTGAGACTTGGAAAGTCTGTAAATAAGCCTTTGTGGAAACTGCATTTGGTTGCATGTAGACACTGTCACCCATGCCATCAGCCCCAAAAATGACCAAATTCTAATGTTATCATATAATTCAATTGATTTCAAGAACAAATTATCATGATGTTGATTTTTGTGTTTACTTTTTATGATGGCTTTGAAAACCCCAAAAGCCTTATGACTTTCCTGGATCCCATGAATATTAAATAAAACTAACTCTTCAAATTTAGGTTATTGGCAGTCTATTACCATTAAATTCTTGCATGATTCTGGTTTCATTTTGATCTGAACAAAATGGTCAAATTCTAGTAATCAAAGTGTACCAAACAGCATTTACTGGAAGCGAGTATTTGTTTGCCTATTAAATGAAATTTCACGCATAGCTTTTTTGAAAGAAATTGAAACTACATATTGTTGCAATATAAAACGATAATTATACTAATTAAAACTAATAGATAACTTAAAGATTTGAACGGAAAAAATTGTTTTGGGGGTTTTAAAAACAATGAGTGCGAGTGACAAAGCTTAAGAATCTGTGACATCACAAGATTTGCAGTTGGTTCCGATTTCAAAATAAAGACACCATACCACTAAGTCAGATGACAGACACAACTTAAACAGGGCTGTTAGTCAAACAATTCTGCAAATTGTGATACTGGCATGACATTTTGCAATAGGGTAGTTTGATACACTGAAAATTGCCCCCTTGGCACGAAACTTTACGCTAAGGGACAGTTTGATACAGCAATTTGATACAGATATAGAACCTAACTGGGAATTGCCCTCTTTTTCTTTTGGTAGACTGGGGTACATTGCTCCACACCTTTAAAGACAGTGTTACTGTATCTCAGTCGTACTTTATAGACCAGACGAAAGTGGTGGGGAGTACCACTTTGGGGCAGGGAAATTTTGATTACCAGTTTGGAGCTCTTTATCAACTGGTGGTATTGAATTGCGATAGTAAATGGGATTTGCCGCAGTTTGTATGGGGTAAAATGGGGAATAAATCAGGAGAAGTTCCTGCTCATCCTCTGCGAAGGCTGGAATGATGTTTTTAACAGAATAAATCTGGTCTAAGCTTTGGAATATGAAGGATAGTTTATCTTTTTGGTAGAAATATATTTTAAGTAGTAAAATGAGCTTTAATTTGTCATGTGACGTCTTTACTACTTTAAACGTATTTCTACCAAAAAAGATAAACTATCCTTCATATTCCACTGCTTGGACCAGATTTATTTTGTTACAGTAAACGTTTTCTGGATGAAATCATCCATTTTTTGATTTTTTCACATTCAAGTAGTGGAACTTTCAAGGCACACAATGATACCAAATTTGAAACAAACAGAAATTTTGAAAATGGAATCAGTAAAATCCTGTTTTCTCCGGACTTTCCTCTACATATAGCTACAAAAAAGCTATTTTTTACATAAGGAACCAATCAAATTACTCAAAACTTTGCACACGACCAGAACAGATGTCAGGTAAACAAATGGTCTCTCAAAATTTTTGCATTTGCTCTGGTCCGTCTTTTATAGCGAAATACAGCTATGAGGGGGAAGAAAAATTGTTTGCCAATTTTGCCAAGGGGAGGAAGAATCTGAAAAATCTGAGACACATTTTGGTAGCTAAATATCTGCGCTTTCTGCGGATATAAGTTTGATTTTGTTACCACAATCGCAAGGGTACAAAATAGTATTTGAAGGTGGTACACTCATTTAAGCAATAAATTTGCCTGTAAGTATAATTTTACAATATTTGCCAATTATTTTTATATGGTTGGAATCACCACGTCCTTGTGCATCAAATGATGTTTAGTTTTATCTGATTCAGTTAATAGTTTTGCTTTTTGAGAGAGAAAAGCAGATATTGTGTCAGAAACGTTTACCGTAACCTTAAAAACGTCATTCTAGCCACCCTTCTCCTTCGCAGAGGATAAAGCAGGAACTTCTCCTGATTTAATCCCCATTTTACCCCAAAAAACAGTGGCAAATCCCTGTTTACCATCACAATTCAATATCACCAGTTGATAAAGAACTGGAAACTGGTAATCAAAATTTCCCCACCCCAAAGTGGTACATCCCACCATTTCCGTCTGGTCTATTATTACTACAGCACAAAACTTTGCAGAAAGACGGTTCCACAAGAAAAAAACCAAAAAAATCTGCAAACTTTGATTATTAGATGTGTGCCTTTATTTAAAGTTGTCAAATGTCATTTCATAGGCACTTAAACTCACAACCCCTTTATATACTGACAGTCATGGCTGAGAGTGTATACAGGGGCTTCAAGAAACACTTCATAAAGAAGAACCTGTTATCCAGATATTTTAGAACTATATGCCCTTTTGTGTAATTATGCCTATTGTGTGTTTTTTGTTATAGGAAAATTTGCAAAACAGAAGAAGAAGAAAGAGAAGATGCTCTGACAGATGTTGCTAATGAGCTAGCTGAAAAGATTGATGCCAAGAAAATAAGTTTGTCTGCAGCAAATGTTAAAAGCATATTGCATGTAAGTAAATGTATTTTTTGGTTGTAATTGATTATTCAAAGATTGCACTTCAAAGAAAGATCTCAGCCCAATTGGTTGTGAAACCCTAAACAAACAAATGCATCATTATATTTTGTTGGGTGTGTATGTGTTTCACAATAAACCCAGTTTCTCACAGCAGGTTTGCTGTTACAGATCTGGCTGTTTATGGCTGGGAATCGCCCATTAGCGCTTCCACAGCCACTTAGTTTGCTCAAGGAAGACAATAAGAACAAAAATTTTCTTACTGTTCTTTTTGGCATTTTGTTTTTGGAAATATATCTTTTTATTGCTCATTTAATTTTTATTAAAGTAAATCCTTTAATTGGTCCCCCTTTAGAAACACTTATTGATGTGTGCTTTTTCTATAGTCCTATCATTTTTATGGTCTTATTAAAAGAAATATACTGTAAGGTGTAAATGATACAAATAATACATGATACAATGACAGTGATACAATAGAAGACACCGTAATGATTTGACAATGGTCACTATACTCCCTTGTATAACCCCTCTACTCAAATTAGCCACACCCTGGAAAATAAGATAACTTATAAGCCCCCATCCTTAGATAAGGCCTAACCATGTCACAGGTCCCACCAATGTTTCGATTCATCATATTAGTCCACTTAACATGAAACGAGAAACTGAAAATAAACAAAATATTTTTTCAATGTTTTTGTTGTCAATATTATTGTATTTTACAGTTTACATAAAATTCTACATATATGCGGATTGTGGATAGTTAATCTTTGATTCCTTTCCTGACTAATTCCAGCATCTTCTGACTGACAAACTACTTGTTGAATTTACACAAAGAGTTGCACTGGATGCTTCTGATAATGATATACAAGCCTCAAATGAACTTGGCCTTGTAAGTATCTTGAATACAGCTTATCTGTTTATTGAAAGTTTTTCCAATAACTCGGTACACATATGATAAGATGAGTCTAGGCACTGATAACGGCCTAGGTAATATCTTATCCACATGCACCACCCATGTTTCTTTTTGATTAATTGCATAGCATTCATAAAAGTCAATATGATTTTATGAACCATCTTCTGTGTTGCATTAAACAATTATGTAATACAAATAACAGGAAGTGTGTCAAGCTTTTTCTTCATTTTGCACACAAATGAGAACTGTTCACTAGTATTTTTTTGTTTTATTTTAATAAAAAGCATTTAAAGATAACTGTTCAACTGCAATTTAAGATAACTGTTCAAGAAAGCAGCTTTTTTGTTTGATTATTATCAGCCAACAGCTTTTATTTATTGCTGTGGGCCAGGATTTACTGAGTTTGGTTTGAATATTTCTTTTTTAATCAAAGTTTTTATGCAAATATAAAAGAGGTTTAAAGCAAATATTGTTGGCTTTATTTTGACAAGATCCTTTTGTAGCAGTAGTAGTCTCAGTTTCAAGCATTTGATATTGATCAGACTGTTGTTGATATTTTCAGGAGACAAGAATTACACGATCAATATGGAGAAAGGGAAAGACAGGTGACTCTAAGTTGCAGCCAAAGGTTTGTTTGAATAAGACTGATGATTTTTTTTTAACTTCAACCCCTGAAAAGAATAAAGTTTTTTATTAATTTAAAGAAAATGAATCTCAGTTCTGAATGACATATTAAATCATAGACATATTTGTTACTTATATTCTCATTTGAAACAGGATAGTCTGTGTTCTAATCAAATAATTTCTGTAAGTAAGAGAAAACAGAAATTATTTTTATTGTGTCAAATGTAGAATGTTTCAAGGTACTTGGTTCATGTGATTTCGTATACCCATTTGTTGCTGATATTCTCTTAATAGTAGCTGAAATAACTAATCTTTTAGCTCATTGCTACATCCTTATTAACAACAGCTTGGTTGCTTCTTTTTGCTAATCCGCACAAACATCACAAGATGAAAATGTATTTTTTTCTGAACTGGAATTCCCCACAAAAAGATATTAAGTGAACTGAACTGCGTGTAATGTTAATTCTTTTGAACTGATTTCTGGATGATTTTATAAATAAGCTATTCCAAAGTACTCAATGGCATACAGACAGAATTTTACACTTCCTCTGTAATATAGCCAAGACTCTTCAAATGCTCACAAATTCTTACCCACAACTCATCCTTCCTCCCCAATTCTTGTAGACTTTCAAACACTCTGCTTTCTTCCTGCTTCCCAGTCTAATAAAAACCTGTCTTTTTCCAATACTAGAATCAACAAGCTTGATATTTTCTATTCGAGATCCCTTGAAAGGGATGACACCTCCTTTTTCTTTTGATCCCTAACATCACTAACTAAAGCATCTTTATCTTAAACAGTATAGCAAATCTTGGTTGCTTTCCTCAGCTTTACCCTTAATGCAACCTTTAATCCTTTTTCTTCTTTTTCTACAGTTTTTTGAAACTGATCTTGCAGAAGATTCAGAAGATGAAGAATACCACCCAGAAAAAGAGAACTCTGTGAGTGTGCTAGAAACTTATTTTATGTCAAGCAGCTCTGAATAAATAGGTACTATGGAACGTGTATCCAAGCCTTGCATTGTTTCTCAGTTTATTTGTATCATCAGTTCTCTTCCACACCTTATGTTCTTTTTTGGGCTTGTGATTTTTTTCCATAGTCTGTTTAGTAAGGCAGTTTACCATTTGCAGAAAATCTTTGATACGATTAGAGTTAACTTTGGGAGGTTCTATTTATTTTGACATGTTGGTTATAATTATTACATTTTTCGTTTCCATTCATTTTCATCTTATGTTAATAGAATCAGAACTACCCAGTTTACAATTTGCCATGTGAATGTAGAAGTCAAACCCACTTACGACATTTATGCTTAGTTTATAAACTTAATTTGATTATATAGCTTATTACAATGAATCTAATGGTCTATGTCAGAAACCCAACAGTAAGTTTTTAGTCTCTATTCGAAACAATGAATTGGGGATGGTAGTTTCTGAGTAAAGATTAATCAGAACTTTTGCTTCACGATTAACGAAAGATAAGGTATTTTCGTAGAGGAAAGATAGGCTGAAAATGCACGTTCAGATGATTTAACTGCCTCGCTATTTTTGCAGATGGCTCCAAGTGATGATGAAAGTGTTACAACAAACTTTAGGTAATTTTGTAGAAATAAATTAAAATTTCAGTTTTGGATGATTTCACTAGAAAAGTAGCGTCTCATCTATTTGCTCGATTAGTTTTCGATTTTTCAAATCTTTCAAGCGCTTTTGTGGCTACCTCCACATTCTGATTTGTTCCCAAAGTCTATTTTACGATTGTTGAGTCCAGGTAATATTCCAAATCTTTTTCTGTTGTAAATCTTTAGGATGAGGTATGTTTAAAAAATATATTTTTTAGATTGTTCTAAAGATCTCTAATCCCGTTTCAGTCTTTTTATGTTAGTATTTTGATATCTAGTATTCCGCTTTGCAGTGATCAACCATCGCCTTTTTTACCACGGACACCTGATTCAGTGACTGCTTCACATAAGGAGAAAGAATCACTTGAAGGTGGGTCTGCAGTATCACAGAGACTGTCATATTCTGATGTTGGTATTACACTTGCATGTATCTCTCTTCCCTTCGACATCCACGTTTCCCTGAATCTAGTAGTCTTTTGGATTTTCGAGTTACCTACGTTTCTTTTCCTTGACATGCATGTTTTTGTTTTATTCCTCAATTTTAAATTCATATTTTTATTTTATTAACAGTTATTGAAGAAGGCGTAAGTCAAGACAGAACTTTTAAAGTGCCTGCCACCCCACCATCTGCAAGTAAACAGAAGGTAAGCCAAGTTGAATCCACACGCTGTTGCCCCTCAATATCCTAAAATATCAAAGTTAAAGCGATATTTCATCAGCTCAGTGTTAGTCTAATCTAGCTGTACTTTGGCTAGAAATTCTGGAGAAGTTTAAGGAATTCAGGTATATGTAATTTTGTTTGTTTGCCACTTTGACGACTCACTGAATGATCCTTTGAGAGTGACGTTATGGCTCCTTGTTTAGAACAATCTTTTGATTTGTGAGCATCGAATGCTTCAGGGCTTAATCATTTTCTATTGTTTTTCGTGCTTATATAAAGAGTTGGTGATAAGAAAGCTTTTTCAATTTCAGCATGATGGTGACTTTGACAAGGAAACCATCGCATATAGGACAAGGTCAAAGATTTCGATGAGAGAACTTTCTTTAGATGCCTTGACAGGTAAGTTGATATCGGATATCGGAATTTCAAATGTCTATTTTTTTGCGAAACATCTCTTCAAGAAACTTTTGCTATCTCCGTATTTTATACCAAATTCGTGCCATTTTGTACCAAACATTTTTGTCATTTTTCCAAACATTTTGACATGCAAAGATATTGTTTCTGAACTGCTCAATATTTTTGGCTACCTTTGTTAATTCCAATACAAGTATTGATTCCTGTGATACCCCAGGGCCATTTAAGGAGATGTAATGTTCTTAAATTCTGACTCTTTGGTTTCTGTTAGTTACTGCTCCATATGTCCATATGCATGTACTTCTGCTAAAAGAAGATTTTTGGTAGACAGTCAAAAACATTAAATCAAACCATTAGAGCGGTACCATTGTGTTTATTCCCTTCCAATCCTATTCTCCAGTCTTCATTATATTTAAAAAGAATATTGTTTGAAGGGAACGAATTAGTTTGGACTGGTGGAAATGCTCACCACATCATTGATGCTGCTTTGTAGGGCAATGAAGTCTTTTTTTCGAGATGCAGTCTTAGAAATAGTATCTAGGTTTAAAAGCTTACACTTGGAACCTAAACTGCGATTGGTAGGGATATTTTAGGTGGAGGGTATAAAACCGGGTAAAATTTTAGGGTTCATCTTCAGAAGTAAATTTCAGGGTACCAAATACATTTATATGCAAAAAAAATTTGAATTGCCAGCTGGTCTATAGGATGATTGACGGGTGTTCGGAAAAACTGGTTTTCCAGATGGTCGTTCCATCCAGCAGTTTAAGAATCCATCCACACTATAATGAAAAAAAACGCTATTGTGTAGACAGAAGGAATTTATTTTCACCCTTTAAAATCCATTGGTAATATTTTCTTTAGGCAAGAGGCACTGATTGGGCAACCTTAGCAATCATGTACTCGCTTTTCTAATTGGCCTATTGATCCTCAACTGGGTTTATGTATTTTCTAGCTTGAAATTTGACGATCATAATTCTGATATTTTATACTCTGAAGAATGTCAGGCGGAAAGTTTTGTCGCTGATTTCAGTTGATTAATTGCAGTTTTCATCAGTTACATCTGTCCCCATATTGTTCTTTATTAATTGTAGACAGAAATAACTACTTCAATTAATATTTGTATCGATGAGCCTTTCGCACTATGTTACACCAACCTTCCTAAAAAAATCATCATCATTTTTAATAATCATTGACCTCCTTGTTTCGTTTTGCAGAAACCTTAACCCCTCCAGACTATGATCCTGCGCTTTACGACTTTCGGAAGCCAGAAGAGTTGGACCCGGATGACCTTGAGTGGCAGAGTTGGCTCAGCAATCTCTTTAGGCAGGGTTGGTAAACCAATTCTACTTCCATCAGGTTTCTGTTAGATGGCTGCGTCGGTTAAGTGTAGTCTTTTATGCCTATATGTTTGCTCCTTGGCTTTAAATTATTTTATTCATTTGATTTTTAAAATTTCCTAATTTTAAACGTGCACTTTGCCGTAACAGATAAACTTTCCAAGCTTTTTAAAAGCTGAAACATAATTACAATATACAAACTTATTAACAAAATCACCATGCATATGCATATACAAAAGATACGAAAATCATACAACATTTTATTCATAACTATTAGCTCATGTTCTCCTTTCAAAGGTTCTCGAATGCAATCCTTGTCAACAGTCTCTGAAATGCCCTGATGCTCAAGGGTTGTGTTAAATTAGCTGTATTTTCATTAGAAGCATCCGCACTGCACCTTTTTCCTGCTAATCAATGTTGGTTGTACAGTTAAATATTATAGCTATCTAAAAGGACACCCAACCTTTAAACAATGCTCAACAGATGATGCCAAACTACGCAATATTAAGCAACGATGCGTCTTTATGCAAACATAGAGGAGCTGTTGCAAAAGTGCATCTTTTCTTCGTAATTTCTAAAGATTAGGGCTCTTTGATGCTTAGTTATGTCTAATAAACTTGTAGTGTGCTTATTATTTCATAGATTTGTTATATAAGCTAGAAATATCAATGAAATTAGAAGCTTCGAAATGAAATAGCTTACATTTGTCTGCAGATGAACTTGACGAGTCAATGGAAGAAAATGATGAGGACTTTAATTTCATGGCAACTGAAGAAGAATTTGACAAAGAAGAATTTAGAACTGACAAAGGAGTTCGGATTACACGTAAGTAACTGTGAAGAGTTAGTTTACACCATTATTGTTCGCTTTTGATTTTGAATATTGTTCGCTTTCAACTCAATATGCTCTTTTCTCGCAGTGTTTTTTATCATCGAAACTATCAACTCTTAGAAACGCCGAGATTTCCCCTAGTTAGTGATTAAATGCTGGCCATCAAAAAATTGTCTCAATTTGCATGTCTCACCTATCTTATTGCCTGAAACTTTACTACATAATGTATGGATGAAGAGACGTTATTTATCATTCTCGTGTTAGTGTAAATACATGCATCTTGAATATTTATAAACCTAGGAAGGTGCCAAGGTATGACCAATAACAATATAATCACCAGGGAAAACAGCTCTTCATTAACAAAATTCTCAACTACGAAATACTTAATCTCCAATCAAAAAATTAAAGGTCAAACGAGCAGTGACATGTGGTATTATTTCATTAGCCAAGAGTAATAACAGTTCAGCATTAATTCTGTTAACAGTCCCATTATTTATGAGTTTAGGTGCCAATGCTTTTCTAGCTACGTTGAACGCACAACCCAAAAATTTTGGAAAAAGTAAAAAGAAATGTCAGATCAAGAGGCCTTTGTTCTGCAAATAGCCAAGAACTGAACAGAAATTTAGGGTTTTTGCTATCTGATGTTTTACCCCCTAATGAGTATCAGATGATCACAAGAACAGATTAACATTAACTAAGTCTTAATCTGTTAGAATATAGACCTACCACACAGGCCATAATATTTGTAGTTGTTGGTGCACCTCTTTGCCTACCACGAAAAAAGAACTTCACACCAATACCAGCAAAAAAGAATTTTTCGCTGCTGCTTGATTATGTGGACCATTCCTATTTGTTACTGCACATTGAAAGAGCAGTGGCCATGTTCCCAGACCTTTGACTGCTTAGATGCTCGCCTCCTGTACCAAGCAGCAAATGGGTGCTCTGTGACGAACTTCCTCTCTTACTCTACCACTACCAGGATAGGTACCCTCTCTAATAGGCTCTTTCTAAAAGTAAGAGCCGTATAGGGACCCATTCTTTCCCCTTTCCCATTGAAAGGATGTTAACAACAATGGTAAATAACAATAAAAACAATCAGAAAACAGCGGAAAATCTTTATTTCAGATGCTGTTAAAGTCCTGGTCAAACGAACTGAACATTTCACTGAGCAACGCTCAACATGCCTGCTCAGTAAAAAGTTCAGTTCATTTGACCACTTGCCCGGCTTTGCTCAGCCCTGCTCAGTCCTGCTCAGAGATGTTTGACGGCGATCAAAAATGTTGAGAGAGTCATTAAACATTTTTTTATTCGAGATGTTGTATGAGCGATGCTCCGTTCGTTTGATCATCCAACTGAACTTTCCTCAATTCACGCTTGTCTAGCTCGCGCGATATATTTAAGTTTTGCACCATGAATACCTCGAGAGTTTTGTGCTCACTAAAACGTTAAATTGCGTCATGAAAGCTCATCATTTCGACAACATTAAGAAGGCCTTTTGATTTACAATAGTTATGTGCAAAATTTTCAGTTCTCATTGCGGAGGCACTCGCATTTATCATTCTTTTTGTTCATTTAATTATTGGGTGCAATGTTCAGTTCGTTTGACCACCCTGTACTGACCAGCACGCTGAGCAGAGCTGAGCAAGGTTTGTAAAGGTTGGTGAAATGTTCAGTTCGTTTGACCGGGGCTTAAGACATGCTTAAATAATGAGAATATAGCATAGTATTTTGTTGAAAATTGATCTTAGAAAATATCAACTTCAAGCTTTGACTGTTCGTTTTAGACAAAGAATTGGAAGGCTTACTAGATGGAATACTCGATGACGTAAGTGTAATGTTCGCAGTATCTTCAATTTAATTAGGGAAGAAGTAATATCAAACTCCTCAATTAATTAAGCCCAGCAGTGACGTAAAATGATGAATGGTCAAAATACTTTTGAAAGATTTGTGGGACGCATAACGCTCTTCTACGTTTAGTTAGTTTAATTTTGAGTTCTGGTTTGGTTCTCACGAAGTAAAAGAGTAAAATGCTTTTTTATGAAGGCAAAGAATCTTTTATCGCGTACAGCTTTGCACATCTGAGTTTCGGGGCTTATTTATTCTATGAGAAAATTTAATCTAATCTTTAGTAACTGACCATTTAGATCATTGTTTGTTTAGTAAAAGTTTATTTATTATCACTGGTGGTGTTTTTATATCTGTTAAATTTACACTTTGCATTTTCCTTCTCTAGTTTGGTGACAATATAAAAGATCAAAGGTATGCAAAGATATCTGTAATTGTATCTCCATTCAAGTTTCTCCATTATTGAGGCGAAACCGAAACTGATTGCTTGATTAATTTTGAAGATCAACAAGACTTCCCACTTGAGCCAATAAAGAAATTTAATTAAAGTTCACATAACCGTCACACGATTTCTTAAAATGATCCTCTCTTTCTGTTTTAGCACCATACTAAAATTTGTCATCCCCAAGGTCTCTTTGACGGCAGAACAGAAACTGCAATTAATTGCTCAGTTGCAACAGGTAAACATTTTCAGCTTCGCACTTTAGTTCAGGCCATGCTGGCTTTTTGTATACTGTTCAAGTTTCTCTGTTAAATTAAAAATAAAACCCCGCCTGTGTAGACAGAAAGAGTTCGTTTCAACTCTTAGACTCTAGTACTATTGGAGATTTTAGCAGCTGCTGATTGGCCAAAACAAGAAACCAATGAAACGCACCATTTTTCTTGCACGTGACTTTCGATCCACACCTGGATATGAATTTTCTGCTTACCTTCGGTCAATATCCATCGTTTATGCCCTGCACAGTGTCAGATGAAAAGTTCTTAAATATGCCATGTTTCCCCTATTTAGTGCAATCTTCAAACTTTACAGAACCAAATGCTTATTTTGGTTCTTCTCTGTCTCCTTAAAATGTATATAGAGTTTCATCGATATCAAATTATCCTTACGTATCTGCTAAGTTATTACTATTAATAGTGTGCTTTTTTAGAAATTTTGCACTTCGTTATGATTTATGCTATATTTTTGGCAGGCCATTTTCTCCGTTTTTAATGAAGGACCAAAATTATTTTCAGCACGTACAGCTCTTGACACAGTCCTACATCCTGAGCTACAAAGACGAACTATTGGTAAAAGAAAACAACGAAAGCAAAGAGCTGCTGCAAGAGCTTGCACGTTTCAAAGATGCGGTAGATGGCGATGAGAATTTGAGAAACAATTCAGCATACTGTATGCCTGGGCTTCCTGGTGCTATAAGGTAAAGACAATTGCTTGTAAAAAACATTTCTTTATATATTACCATATTTCATCAAAGACACATACCGTGCGCTTATTTAAAAACTAAATCAAAGGTATGCGATTATTCGAGCGTATAGTCTCACCTGTATTGATTGTTTTCCTCCAATAAACCCTACCTTCTGTATCGTTTTTCTGGAATCTCGATGCAACAGGTACTGATCTTCATTTTAGCACTACGTTTTTTGCCAACCCCAAATCGTTTTCTCTTTCTGAATGACCAAGGTGGGCTCCAAAACCAAGAATATTAAGTCTGTTCAAACGCTCTCAACTTTTCACTCGAACACACTCGAAATCTTTCAGCGGCGTGGTTGATAGGCGTGGCTTTCTGTAATAAAAAGACACTCGAAAATCGTAACAAATCGTAACAGATTGTAACAAATCGTAACTGATCGTGTTATTACCCTTTGTATCTATGCAATGGCAACAAACTGCACCACTAAACTATATCATTTTGCGTTGGGATAGAACGGCAGGCAATTTAAACTCAGAATTCTATTTTGAAGCTTACATAACAATGTATTTACCAATAAAATTAAACAAACAATTTCTTTCATATAAAATATAAAAAGATTTTAAGATGAAAGTATGAAGTTTCAAGTTAAAGCATAAAACTGCAGCATCAGTTCCTTTTCTTTTTGACTTCTTCAACTGGATGTCTTGTAAAGAAGTACACAAATTTTGGGGGCTCTCCTTTCTAAATCGCAAATAGAAGTCCTGTTGATAATAAACTTTTTTCACTGTTGTGAGTGGCTGTCGTAGTTTAAACACGATTACATCATATTCTTTACGGCCACAAGAACTAAAGAATATTTATTTGTGGTTTAAGCTGTTCCTAATTGTCATTTGTGAAAACAGATTTTAGATAAATGGCCTACCGCAATACTGATTCATGCAATTCGTTACTTTATCTAAAAGATTACATTTTAATGTTAAGGGTTAATTAAATTGGCATCAAGCAAAAGAAAATAAGTTTTATTCACAGCACCAGTTTGCACTTCAAAACGGTTGTCTTATTACATACCCACAAGGTTGAAAAAACGAGTGACCTCGAGGGCTCTTAACAACACTCGACCCCATTTGATCTTATTTGAACCCGTTTGACCCCAGTAGACTCCACTTGACCAATCTTGTCTTCACTCGACCTCTCTCGCCTCCACTTGACTCAAGTACAGAAGACAGTTGATGAAAAAAAGAAACCCGAGAAGTGTCTATGGAAAGGGAGACAGCGTTTGAGCAGGCATGTGATCGTTCTAGGTTCCGAAGGTTTCATCCAGATAAAAGACCTCTCGAATCGTACAACCCCAGTAAAGACTATGAATAAGATATTGGAGTCATTATCATTATGGGTAAAGTAATATACTTGTAACAAATGGTTATATTTCATTCTCTTTTTTTAAAGGATAATTAATACCATTGAAGAGCAGTCTGAGCTTGAGAAAATACTAGCCGAGAAGAATGCCATGCCAATTTATAGAGAAGCATTTGAGCCAAGGCGTGGCAAGAGAATAGTAGTGGACATCCCCCCTAAAATAGCCCTGAAGATATTCTCAGAGCCTTTTTTCTTGACATATCCAGAGCTGCTCCCGCACCAAGGCATATTGGCTACGGAGAGACTACAAGAATTGTCCAAAGAAAATGCTAGGTTAAAATTTTTTAGATGCGAGGATAATCTCTTAGCAATGGGTCTGGCTCAGTTTGGCAAGAATTACGATATGATCGCGAAACATTTATTACCAATTGCGACACCGAAGCAGCTGTATACTAGGGCAAAGAATCTGGTGTCAAAACGTGAAGATGATAACAATCCAGTCAAAGTATTAAGAAGGACAAATTGTCTACCACCGTTGATGACCAGTATTTGCATCAATATCCCTCGATGTAAGTTTCAAATTTACCTGGCATCAAAGTATTCCTGTTGACTGTTTTAAAATGGTTTGTTTGCATTTTATTACTATTTGTATGTTCTGCCATTGTCAGGTCTGTTGGTCTAGCAAATTTTTTTCTCTTGATTGCCGCCATAAAGTCTTTAGCCATCAAATGAAAGGTTTAAGTTCTGTTATCTGATCTTCGCATTGACGTGGCCGCCGTTTTTTGATTTCCAATGAATTTTTTGCCCAAATGGTTATTTTTACCTAGCAAACAAAATGTCGAATAACTGAAAGGCTGTGTATGCTAGATCAGAGCCAGCCCGTCGGACCAGAACTTCTATCTGACAATTATTTTGGGCTTATGATAAGTCATGTTGCCAAAGGAGACGTTTGTTATATTCGTGTGCTTTTCCAACGGGAATTGAGTTTCTTATTCCATTTTGGTTCTGATGTTGTCACAGCACTTCATTTTAGAGGAGGCAAGTTACAGGTCAAGTAATGTCGGTAAGGAGGATCTTGTGCTTTTAATCACCGATTTTGTTAGGTCACATCATGACTTTTTTGGACTCGAGGGTTTAAGGAAGTATGGAGCATATAGGTTGCGTATAGAATTACTTTCGATGGTGGTATTTGACAGGTGTTAAGTATTACGCACACTTTTTAATCATTGGAGTGTTTCTGATGTTTGCACCTTCTATCATTCGTAGGTACACCAGCCAAATCATTAAAGGATTCTTATCACGACGTTTCAAAAAGATCTAAGCTACCTCTCTGGGTTGATAAAATCCATGGGTTATTAAACCGATTGGAATCAGGCAGCTCGCCAAGGGTCCGAACACCTCATCGAAAGCCTGCTCCTGTTTACCCAACGAAATTTCGTCCAATCGCTGCGAATTGCATCATCAAGCAATTGGTATGTTTCTTCGATTACCATTTGTTGTGTATAAGCATGTTAGAGTGGCGGAAATTGAGCTTTTGATAGGGTAAGAGAAAACAAAATTCCAGTTTCACGTTTGATTGCCTAAACCCCCCCCCCCCCTTCTCCGCCTTCTCATAATTTTCTCCCATCACTAATTGTTGCATGCTAGTTCTTAATGGCTCTTAAAATATCTTAAAACATCATTAGTTCAAAACCCAAACAAATTAGCTTTCATTTTTTAATAAATCTTGGTAAGTGTGTTAACTAGAGCTGAAACCCTTCAAAATAACCAACGTCATCAAGTTTCTCAAAAATGGAGCCTACATAAAGATTCTAATTTTTGAATATTTTGTACGAAGTTTTCTGTAAAAGGTTTTGTTATGTAAATACAATTCTTTAGCTGCTGTCATCCACAAGACAAAAACCTTCTTGTTTCTCCCTACAAAAATCGCTGCTCTTTCGTTGTCAAATATTTGTCCTTTCAGTTGGTCATTAAAGCATTATCAAGACTGGTTTTGTTGACACAGAAATTAGTTTGTACATACACCAGAGACAGAGAAAAAACAGCTTACTTTTGATCACAAATCTACCTCAGCTATTTATTGAAAATGTTTATCTCTAGTCAACAAATAGCGTCTTAATAGCATTTCTTATTAATACTTTCCTATTCCTCCATAAATAAACTATTTTCTTAACATTTTTCTGTTCATTAGGCTCAATGATTACAGAGCGAGATTTGATCAGAACTGCATTCAATTTGAATTGTCTGCAATTTCGTCTGCCTCTGCGATCTAGGGCGTCTACACTACAAAGTAAAAAAGGCATACGCTAGAAGAATTATCTTTCTTTCTATTTTAAGTCATAATTGCTTCTGCCCTTCTACTCCGTCAACCCCATCCCACAATATCCATCATTAAGTTTCGGTCTCCTTTTGTGTTATCCCTATCTCTGCCGATGTTTTTATCAAATAGGCTATTTTGTCAAGCTGAATGAATTGGAAGCTAATTCAACTCTTTGTACTATAGCCTACTGTTCTTTGTTGCTCTTTCTCTGATGAAGTTAAGTACTCTATGTTCCTCTTACGTTTTAGCCTTGTCAGTTGACCTTTCCTTTTCACTGACTATAAATATTTATCTTCGACTTCTGGCACATTAGCAGAGCTCCTGTGTATCATTCTAAAAAAACTTCCTACCTTGGCAATATGCCAGCTACACAAATATTTCGGAATGAGTGTTAGATATGTGACATTTGTGTTTTGTCTCTGTCCTCTTCAGTATTTAAAGGACACATACGAAGAACAAAACATACAATATTTTTCAATATTTATATAGTTTTGTCATTTTCTCATTGTTTTTGCAACTATGATTGGCAAAATAGCAGATTCTTGGCTTGTCATTATTTTTTGCTTGCTTGCTGTCATTCTACTTTTCTTGCATCCCTCTTGTACTGATTCTTAAGGTGGAATGTTACTTCTCATTCGATCCGAGCCTTACTGCACTATTGCCCCTTTATTTGGGGGAGATTTTAAATTGGGGGACTTGCTTTTAGTCGTCCAGGAATAACTTTTAATCATCAAATTCAGTTTGATCATTGTTCGCAGGGGAACCTTGAAACCTCCTCCCAAATTTTTGCAAGTGTCATTCGAAGACGAATAAGTGGCCCTTTTATGTTGGTTTTTCACATTCACTGTACTCTATTTGCCAAAGCTCCTTGTCGACAAGTGAACAAGTTAAGTCCCATTCCAAAAGTCATGCCCCCTCGTTTTATAACCACTTCCTATGCCCCTACCCAGTAAAACAATGAAAATAGATAAAAAATCGTTTAAAAAATATAACTGTTTTCTTTCTCTGCAGCCTCCATTAATACTGCATATCCCCCCGCCACCAGTTGTTAAGAAAAAACCGTCAAAAGCAACAAAAATTAAAACAGTGTCCAAAGCCATACAGACTGAGTTAGAGAGTGTGGAACCTAGTCAACCCGCACATGATGTTCCCAGCCTTGAATCTTTAAAAGACGTGACCAATCAAGGTGAAGGAGTCCCTCTCGATTACAAAGTATCTCATGATGTAGGAATCTCTTGTGAACTTCAACAGGAACAGAATAACGTAGGGCCGGATACCGAGGAGAAGATTTTCCTTAACGAAAGCACCTCTCCGGCTCACCAAGTCAGTTCAGGAAAATTGATCTGCCCTATAAGTGAACCTGTAGGGCTAGGTACCACCAATCAGCTGCAATCTGAGGACCTTGGAATTAGGCCGGAATTTTCAGGTGAAAAAGTGCTGCCTTCGATCGGAGTAGACCGAGCGAAAACTGATGGGGATTACCTGGCTGACAAGGTGAGCGATAATGACGAGGAACCGAAATTAGGCGAAACGACCGAACCGGTCATTAATGCCGAGCTTGAGTTTTGCCTTGATAACGATATAGGATCGAGTCCTATACAGAGTAATTTAGAATCAGGAAATTGTTCTTTCGATGATGATACTGAGGACTATGAAGACAGTCGAAATGATGGTGCGTTGTCCAGGAAAGAAGGCCACGATACTGAAGAATATGTTGATGTTTGTGATGGCATCCAAGCTGAGAATGGAAGTGGCAAAGGAACGACTTGTAATGAAGAGATTTTAGCGGAACAAACGAAAGACGTTGGGAATGCAGATGAAAAAAGTCTTGGGGATAAAGACTCTCCAAAGGATAAGAGCAGTTCAAGGGCAACTGCTAACACACGAAGAAAGAAGATTGAGAAGAACGAAAACTTCAATTGGAATGAGAAGGTATTAGATGAAGCCATTGCTTTTACGCCCTAAAAAATACATGCTAAGTGATATTACTTGCTGTTTGATTGCATAAATAATTGAGGGCTCATTGAGGAGGGCTAAGGGAACCCGCTTATTTAGGAGCAGCCTTATTGTGGCCTTCGAATTTCTAAAAGCCTTAGTTTACTTATCTACTGATTCATTAAATCTGTCGAGTTTAGATATTTACCTCAAGGCTTGACATGGGCTCTATCTCATCAAAAAGATCTTGTAACTTTGTGGCCAAATAAATATTGCGATGAATCTCATATTTTTGTCATATTTGGGGCAATATTTGCCATATTTGGGGCAAGAATAGACCAATCAGAACTATTTCATTGTTTTGGTGAAACCAAGATCAAGCCCTGTAAACTCGTACTTGAAATTATGAAGTGCTTCTGTATAAGCCCCTTTAATCCTCCCTCTGCAATTCATTTCCGGGACATGCCCCCATTCGCTCCTTGCCTGTACCTCGCAAATTGTTCAAGCATTACCTTCTATTTCCATTAATCTTCTTTTTCCTGGCTCTTGGACTTTTACACTTACTTACTATTTACTCTGCTGATTTCTCCCCTATTTCTTAAGAATCTCTGTCTATTGTACAAACTCTGACTGTTTTCCGTTCCCCTTACACAATTTTCATCAGCCTAGTTCAACCCTTTTTCTTAAACCAATTTTATCCAACTTTCCAACCTTTCCACCAATCATACTTTTTTGCGAAGGAATGCCTGAAATCAAATTTTCATGTTTTTAGCTTCAAGAAAAAGCATCTAAATTTGCAGATCTTTATTTTGAAAAAGTCAAGGTAAGCAAATACGCATGCCTTTTATATAGCGAGGTTTTTTCTAAGAAATGATTTGTATATGGCTGCTACTTGCTACTATGCCTCGCGATTGATCTCATGTGGCTATCAGGCAATTCCTGGATCAGCCATGAAAAGCAGAAAAGCTTTGATTTCAATTCATTACGATGATTAAAAGAAGTATGTTAAGCAGAAGCTGTTAGAACAGATGCTATTGCATCGTTTCAGTTTTTGCATTTGCATCTGTTTCTTCTTACCTTCCCCTATAAAAGAGTTTGAATACCCTCATCATCTTTCCTACTCAATGTCTCCCCGCCTACCTATACAATGTTGGATCCTGACTAGAAAATAACGACAAGTGAAGGTAGGCGGGGGATGGAAACAGATGTTTAGCAAATTGTTTATCTCCCTTTTCAACATTGTTCAAAGGGGGGGGGGGGGGGAGGAAGATCAGTCAACTTGAATCTGGAAAGTAAAAAAATGTGTATTTTCCAAATGCAATCCCCATGTTCCAACTACTTTTTGCAGCGATTGTAGCTTCTTAACGTTGTTTTTTGAACAAAGTAAAGCTGTGTTTATTGGGCATGGTACTGGTCCTTCCTTTCGATAGGACCACACCTCTTGATTCCTATGCCTTGCAATACAGCCATGAGCTTGCGACTTCCCTCACTCTTTCCTGTGAAAGTGAAAGTTTGGATCTGTCTTCCGTCTAGGATGCTGAGGCATTCGCTCCCCAGTTTCTGCTCATGTTTTGATAAGCGTTAGAAAATCATTTGTTTGTTGGAATTTGTGTATTTATTTTGCTGGTTTAAAATGAAAATAACCCTGATAGAAAACGTGGCAAAGGTAGAAACATTTTAAGGTGATTCCAAACGTCATTCGCAGTAAGAGATTATAACAGGGGATAAAAACACATGTCTTTGAACACACAAATAACAAAATTATTTTTCTTACGATAAATTCTAGAAACTACTGCAACATAAAGCGAACACAGCCGCCGAAAGGTTTCGGTGACCCTAGGGCAAAAAAGGCGCGCCCCCCCCCCCAGCTAGTGGAATGTACAGAAAATGTTTGCGACCACGTACTTCAGATTAGTTTAAAATGCTTTTCAGAATATTTCATGCAGTCATTTTTTGCAATCGTTTTACTATTTTCAATTATGTTTTTTCTACATCCGATTAGATTCTTAAAATGAAGTTCTAAATGATCTTTGATCTCAATCCCAAAGGAAACTTTATCTGAAAAACAAGAGCTATACTGCGACTTCCTTCGACTCATTGATGAGGCTGGTCGCCAGAAACTGGACAGAGTTGAGGTGAGATTTTTTATATGAAGACGTTAAATACGCAAAAAAATGTCATTAGTAGTATGTGATTATCATTTATTTTACTATCTCCGTCAGCTGGCTGGTTTCTGGTGGATTAACCAACCAATATCCTCAGCGAGTTTTGATAGATGACGTCATTTGTGGGTTTCCATGTTCCTGCTATTGATGACTCAAGTGTTTGTCTGCTTTTTAAGTCATTTTGAATGCGAAAAAAATATATTTATGGATACTGCTATTTAAATTCTTATCAAAAATGCATAATATGTCGTTATTAATGGGTTGGATGTGTTTGAATTTTTATTGGCTTAAATTCGCGAAGTTATCCATTTGAAAAGTGTCTGTGAAATATTCGTGCTGAGAAAATGCTTGGGATCGCTTAAAACAAAATTTGTTGTAATGCTGCTGGAGCTTAGTGCTGCCCAAATATTGTATCTCCAGTCAAAACACAAAACTACTCTTGCAATTTGATATGGGTCGGCTCAACACCTTTAGCCTTGATGCCATGCAATGACATTGATTTATTTTTTAAGATATTCTCTGTACCTATACTGCACAAATGATTAAATATCGTAATTTTTTATTGCTGTTAGATGTCATGGTTGGTACAGTAATGGCTAATTAAAAATATCATTCTGCTTAAGTCGAGTCCTTATTGTTACCAACTTCAAATCAGAATTTTTGTTTTTGCTAACAATGCTTGTAATCCTTACTGCAGCTTCTCTGTATAGGAATTTTTCTAGTTTATTAATTTCCCTAAAATATTCGTCGCCTGCATTATCGCTTTGTCTAAACTGCTACCACAATCTTCCCTTTAATGTCAAAAAGCCACGAGTAGTATGCTATTGAGGACTTGGTTTGAGATTGAGGCTCGAAGCAAGCCTATGTCAAGGTTGCTAATGGTTACTGATATTATCAGAGTTTGGTATCTGTTATCTGAGTCCCGATTGGAAAGTGGCTGTTGTAGATCAAGGTCATGGTCCTTGTGTATTTTGGGTTCTTGTGTGGGCGCAAGCCTAATGTATCTAATGTATCCGAAGCAGTTAATCGAATGACTGGACCCTTTATGGACGGTTTGTATGGAAAAGAAGGCTAGATATTGAATTGACCACTGCCAGGAGAAGCAGTTGATCGAGTCCGCTTCTGTTTGGAAAGTTGATCAATTGCAGCTGATAAAACGATATTTGCCTAGGGATTTGATGCTGTGTGCTAAGCTGATGCCCGAAAGGTTGCCGTGCCAACCTGCAAGACTATTTTTGATTAATGTTTGAGTATGCCAAGCTTATTTATGTATCAGTTTATTTTCGAGTGGTATCAGTTGCAGCTGAGATTGTTCAAAGGATTTAAAAGAATCAATAACGAAGGCGTTAGCCAAACTTTTGAAAAACATAGCAGAATTCATCTGCTGATTTAGAGAATTTTGTTAACTGTAAATTATGATTTTATTTGTCTTCAAGCAATCACATGGAATTGCGGGTAGTTCTTCTTAAATAAGGCGAATTAATTTGTAATTAGTCTGGGCTGCGGTATTTCTGAGCGTGTTTGCAAATGGATGCTAGAAGTGTAAATTGTATGATTCTGGAGTTGTACGTGGTTTGTGATTGAATACTGGAGGGTCAAACACTACTCAATTGAAATTTACCTACTATAGAATTCGTGTTGAATCGATAAGACTTTTGTACATTCAACTGTGTCGTTTTTCCAGCCCTGATTAACCCAGTTTGTGTAGTTGAATCTTACTCTATCCTCTATTTTATTTGTCGGTTTCTGTTTACATCTTTGATTCGAAGTAAAAACCCTGTTATACCCTGGAGAAAAGGGAACTCTAGGGCTTAGCATATGACAGAACTTACTTTTTAGCAAATTATCAAGTTTTCAGGGGGTGCTTAAGGGCGTAAAGTTTACAAGAAGGCCCACTGTACTGCCTAGCCGTCTACGATTTTAGGACGAACCCTCTGGTTGCATTCGGTATTATGTTATAACTGTAAAAGATTGTAAAATAATTGTAAAAGAAGCGAGAAAAAGTGGAAGGACGAGACCTGCTTTTCAACCGCATTTTGCTTTCTTGCTTGGTCTGTGTTTATGTTGCATTACCGTTGATGATATTGCGATTTAGTTAACGAGCAAACGTAGGCCTAACAAGAAGAGCACTTCCAATCATTGGCAGAAGTTTTTTACAGACCTAAAACTTCACAACATAAAATGAAACTCGAAGGTGTCAAATGTTTGTGAAAATATTTTCAATTCTCTTATTTCAGTATTGCTCTTATTGATCTTCGCAGAGGCTCTCAGTAAGAAAATTGTGTTGTTTTTTGTCATCATTGTTTGATCATCAAATCACGCTAAAAGAATATCTGAGTGAATTAATAAGAATAAAAAGGACATTGCGATAAAATGGGGTTTTTAAGAACGCTATAGATCGGTGTGTGCAGCTGATCCTGTGTTGAGACCTTTTGTAAGTACAGGGTCTTTAGTTCAAAAGAATTTTTTCTTTTTTTGGATCAGATTTTTGGATTATGTTTTCCAACCAGTTCTAATTTATTTTGTAAAAGATGCACTCAAAGTCTGTTTTGTATCTTCAGTCATAGTAGGAAATTAACTCTTTTTGTTTTTTTGACATTTTCAGGTATACCGGAAATTGTCCGATTTATTACATGATTACCCAGAGCTAGTCGAAATGTTTGTTGGTTTCTTGGAACCATCGCAAGCAAGGGACGTAGGCAAGGTACTTGAATTTATTTTTAGAAGATATGAATAGGGAGGACAACCAAATTGTCAGGAGAGGTAGGGGCTATGTTGGTGCAGATGTGGCATCCTGAGATATGGCGCAGTTCCCACATAAATCACCCTGTTCCTAGACCCTAATTGCCAGCGTTAAACCGAGTTAATCGTGTGATCTTATATGTTGCATTTTTTGGCACTGCATAGCTCGAAAGTTTTTCAGGGTTCTGATTTGTTAAATTTTATTCAAATTCTCTTCGTATGTTTCAAAATATACACGACGATTAAATGTATATGTATTTGTATGTAATGTAAATGATTTTCTTTATTTTGAGATAAATCAAAGTTTTCTCTGCTGTGCAATGTGCGATATTCTCTCAAGACTTGATTTGACTGATTGTGAATTGATTTTTTTCAGTTTAAGACCTGGCTTGAATTCGATAAAGCACGCAACTTCCTCCTTAGCTGTGAGGTAATCTTTTTTTGCAATTTTTCAGTCATTTGTTGCATTGTGAATAATGATGCTTGACCGGTCTGTTGTGTTTCTGATTGGTTCACTGGAGTTTTTGATTGTGCTTTGATCTGTTAATGCCGTTGGTTTTTATTAACTGCTACACAAAAAATGTGTTGTCTTGAATAGCCCTGGGTTGGCATAAAATAGATTTGCACGAGAAAGTAAAAATTGCAATTCTATGCGCTGTCACCATCCTTTGCTATTTAGCAAGCCATTCTTTGCTATTTAGAAATAGATTCAGTTCAGTTCAGTTCATTTCATTTTGAGATTCCACTACACTTGAAATACTTGAATAGATTTAACTCGCTTTTGAAATGATAATGAGTTTTTTCTGCATTCTCATGTTCCTTGTACGATTTATTCCATCTAGGCCTTTTTTCTGAAAACAAAACATTACCATCAGCTTCTGAGAAAGAAGATCCGACTTCATGAAAACGAGAATGACTCAAGAAAGGTAATCCGCAGTTAAAAGCTAGGTCAAGTGTGTATTTCGACAGAGTGTGCCGATATCGCAATGTGAAATGTAGCCACAGACCACAAACTGAGATTCGTAGGTGTCACAAATCCAAAAAGATGTAAACTTGAGATCAAGACAAATTCAGTTTTGTAATCCTCTTGATGAAAACTGTGACCATCAGACATTCCTTAAATTAACCATGCGAATGTTTCTGTCACCAACTTCTTTCCCTCTTCTGCTTTTGAACACACATATGCACAACTTCTCCAGCCCAATAAATGCTTGGTTTTCTGCTTCCTAGTGATCATAACCAAACAATTATATATTCTAATTCAGTGAGCTTAGCCTAGATTTCTTGGTAATCTCCAGATGGTTGAAGATTAAAAACACATCTTTCTATAAACTACCCTTGCGTTTCTAAGCATACAAATTAGTGTGTTATAACATCAAACAAAATATTGATTTATAGGAACTCTTTGGCATGGATATTATTGATGTGTTTCTATATTTAACCTGATTTTGTAAAGTTTTTTTGTAAGTGCAATCGTTTTTAGATGTGATTCATCATGCAGAAGATGCGGAACAAGTAGAAGACGTTGTTGCGTGATCGTTGCATTTTGATTTGTTGACTAAATACAAAACTAGGCGTAAACACGTGGCCATATATAACGAGTGGGCGCTACGAATGTGTGATTAATTACATTACTGTTAACATGCGAGGTTTAAATGATAGTGATTCAACAAAGAACGTTTTTACTAATGACGGTCTCCATACAAGTTTAGAGCCGTATTCAACGCTTCTTTGCTTGAAATCCATGTATACCTTCAGAAATTTATCACCTTAAATTTACATTTTCTCCCTTGAAATTTTATAATTCCATACAAGAAAGTCTTTGCGTGAATTAACTTCTTTCTCATTTCCTCTTCAGCTGTTTGAGGCTTTGAAATCCCATTTTCGAGGAAATAACGAGCTTCTTACAGAACTGAGCACCATGTTACCAGACCTGTCTCCTCCACGAAGGTATTTATACAGCTTTGCGTGTCTATTGCTTATGTCATTGCACTTTCTTTGACGTTTCTCAACACTACAGTACCTATCGTTGAGAATTGCCAAACATGCTTAGCTTTTGCCTCAACACTACAGTACCTATCGTTGAGAATTGCAAAATTTGCTTAGCTTATGCCTAAGTATGTAATACAATATGACATAGTATGTTAAATTTGATGAAGTTTTATGTTTACAAAATGTGGCTGATTGACATCTGTAAATATAATACCTTCATCTTTAGTTATTGGACACTTCTTTAATAGTTACATGTTGTTCTTTTGGTTTATGCAAGTAACTTTAACAATTATCAAAGACTTGTGTTAAGGACTTATTGCATCCAAAAAAGGTTTCAGCTTCAGCCCACGATCTGCGGCAATTTACACCAGATGTTTTCTATCATTTCTCTCCAAAATAGAAATACCTTGATATGTTAATTCACGATTTTTTGACGATCTTCTGATAATGATTTCAAAGCCCTTTTCAAAGATTCTCTTCAAAGATCTTCTTCAAATGATATTTTCCAAGCACTTTCTTGTTATTTATTATTATCTCGCAAATTCTGATCCCCTTTCATTCTGTTCTGCAATTGCCGACACATTTAAAACACCAGAAAATAAAATTCGATTAGATGTGGTTATCTCTTTGTCAAAATATTTATTCCTGAAATCTTCTTGGTATTTTTTTGAGTGGATTAATCAAACATTGCTCAAAATTTTCAATGCATCCTATCTGGGGTGCAAAAATTCGATGTTTTTGTTGAGAAGGATGTTTAATATCCTCAACTTAGGGAGAGAATTTACCAAGAGGCTTGGTGATGAATAAATCTTACAGAATCTATTTTATTCCTTTGGATTAATCCTGATTAGGGCAGAAGACAACGCCAAATGAAACTTAATACTTAACTTCACATGCAATTAATACTGTTTAGTAATCGACAGCTAGCATCATTTAATTCTATATCGATTCATCCTACTACTGAAGAACCGATAAAAGGTTTTTAAGAGCAGTTTCCGAAAATATTTTGATCCACCACTTTGAGTTACCAACAATCGTATCCTTGGGCATTCGTGGTCACCCAGATGTTGATGTTAAACATTGGTTCACTTGTTAATGTATTTATTAATTGTTGTAAGCTGTTGTGTATTTTCAAGGCCGCTTTTCTTTGGATTTGATGGACAGGGGTACGGTTCTAAAAAGTTTGAAAGAGGGTCTGTGATGTAGGGAATGTCTAAATACCACACACCACACCACGCCCACGGTCACACCCTGTATACTTGCAAGTTTCTTTGTTTTGTATTTGATAATTTACAGGCAACAGGATTTTTTAAAGATAATTAGTAGAGTGTGCGGGAAAATCCTCGCTTGGGTCGGTTATTTTCCCGCACTCTCTACTAATTATATTTGATAATTATTCACCGAGTCCAAAAGTCTAAAAAATTCGCTTTCGTGGAATATAAATTGCATAATAAATATTGCAAGGCTTAATTCATATTGCAAGGTAAGTATCCAACCAAACATTCAATTGCTTGTTAAGGAAGGCTGAGCACCCCCTAAATCTTCTTTATTTTAACAAGGGGGGCTTTGTCCGTTGAACCCTCCTTTACGGCACCACTGGTGATGGCCCTAAAATCAAGCAAAAATGGATCATACCGCTTAATTAATCTTCGTCACTCCTTGCTCAATTTATTACTTATTTTTATACGAAAATTTAGGTTAAAAATATTTTCATATAAGGATCAAACGTTTTAGAGAAGGTATTGCAAATTTCATTTTCATATCAAAGTCTTGTAATTTCGAAGAATACTTTGCTTTAAAAATGTGGTTACACCACGGGTACTGATTGGATCAGAAGGACAAATGCTTACAAATAGCCAGCTAAACCAGGAAAATAAAATGCCCTATTTTTTATTATATTCCTCATTTTTTCTGATGCTTGAAAAACGGCTTATTGTTTTTTCCATGCATTAATTCCCTTTCTTTCCTTCACAGCCGTTCTGAAGATTTTGAAGTCATTCATTTTCGGCCGGATCAAAATGGATTTGATCACGTAGACGAATTCGAAGAAATCAAACTGAAGCCAAGTGACTACCTTGATTTTGAAGACTTGCAACAGAAAAAGAAGAATATACTAGACGATTTTGCCGCTTGGTTGCAAAAGCCCGCGTTAAACGCCCTCGAAATCCGAGCGGAGAAGCATGATAGTCGCAAGAGTGATTTATCAACTGCCGCGCGCAATGATGCGGGCGTTATGCCAGAAAATGAGACAACTAGCATAGGAGTTGGCACGGTACAAAAGGGTTCTTTAGATTCAAAGAACGTATTGGTACAGGAAAAACTTGAAGTTGTAACAGTGACGCAATTTTCAGATAATAGTGGCGCTGTTGCAAAAAGGAGACCGTCATTGAGTGCTCCACAACAAACAAGTCGCCAGATTTCATCTGTAAATAGTAAAACCGTGAATGAAAACCATATTGAAAGCAACATTAACGACGAACAGACGGGAAACGAAGCAATTTCAAACCTTGGCCTTAGAAATACACCAGGAACTGATTCTAAAGTTCCGCTTACTCCTGTCGCCAGCACTTCCGAAATCTTTAAGAGTCCCGCTCATGTTGGCCCAGGTAGTATTGAGCCAAAAACAAATGAATCTGTGCTGCTCGGGGGGTCAAGCCCAATGGGAACCAGACTGACCACATTTAGGGTAAACGTGCATGGTTGCAGCCCTAGTACGGGTTTTCAGCGTATAGGACCAAGGCAAGAACCCCCTGAAGTTAGCAACGTAAGAGAGAATGTGTGTTTGGATTCAGAAATACAAACTCACGCAACCTCTTCACCAGCTTCTCCGCACTACGTAGGAGACAACGGCGGAGACATAGATGTAAATGTTGACAACGATTGCGATAGCCAACAAATTGAGTCAGGGTCCAGCTCTGAAGACAAGGGGAAAGATTCTGAATGCGTTCCTGCCGATGACGTGGTTTATGATGATAAAGGAAATGTTATTTATCAATGGACAAGGTAGGCTTCCACTCTTATAGCTCGATTTTAAACTGTTTCTAGCAACAGCCCCAGTCGGACGCAACAGCACCAGTCGGGTATTTCTAGTTTTCTGTGCCGAACGAAATGGCTAGATTTTGTGCCCATTTCAGGCCGATTGCTGTAGCTCAAACCTGTAATTCTGAGCTTTTATGTGTGAGTTCGTTTTTGAATTTTTTATGTGAACAGAAAATTCATCATTCAGGTCTTCTGGTTAAAAATGGCTAGTTCTCTCTAAAATCTGATTTCAAATCTTTTGACCTTTTTGGCAGGCAAGCTCATCCTGGATATGATAACAGTCATTTGCTGCGATAAAACGCCTTGTATGATGGCAGTGACTGTGTTAACTTGCTTGGTTTTTTCAAAAAGCTTCCTGCGATAATCCTGTTCCACATATGTTCCAGCGTAGACTAAATCTCCAACATCTGTCATCTTTCTGTCATTTTTCTGTATGATATGTCAGATAATCCTTATGTATACATGCATGAACATGAATTTTAGATAAACAGCTTTTCAGAATAGCTAAAGTTCTTTTGTGCTGTCAAAGTATTTGAAAAAGCAACCAAATTTTTTCTACGAAACCAAAATATGTATGCTCTAGTCGTAAAAGCCGGCACAATTTTAGTTTGTATGATAATTTAGGCCAAGGATTAAAAACTTTCTTCGTTGTGATGCCTTCGTAGCGCCATATTTTAGTTGAATCGAACTAAGGTGCATATGGATTAAAAGTATATGGATACACAGGTTTTATTTGAGAGTTAGATAATTTTTGTCGAGACTCGTTTTTCTTATATATTGTATAATTTTAGGCTCGGGTATCCTCAACATTGTTCTTATATTTTGAAATAGAGTACCGAAGTGATGACGTCATATAAATCTGTTTTTAGAATTTCTAAATTTTGATGACAGAACCTAAAAGAGCATCATAAAATACCTCTAAATATGCAAAATCAGTTAAAAGCATTACGAATTGGCTGAGATATGGCCACTTGAGCACAAGCTCTTGCCCCATCAAACCTCTGTAATTTGGTAATTTGGTTTATAATTTTATGAACCAGGCCAAAATAACAGTAATCCGTTAGCAAACTTGAAATCTTCTATTGGCCATATCTCGCCCAATTTGGAACATACATGGCTAATTTTGCACATTGAGAGGTATTTTATGTCGTTCTTCCAGATTATGCGGCCAAATTTAAGAAATCCTAAAAATAGATTTTTGATGACGTCACTCTTCGGTACTTTATTGATTTGTTTGCAGCTACATTCTATAAATTGTTTTTTAGGACCACTAAAAACGGTTTTTTATGGAATTTTTTATTCAAGGTTGATTACCTGATAAAAAATCCACTTTTGATTAAGGGAAAATTTTCAAAAACAGTTTGCTTTTTCTGTACTAATTTTCGACCAAAGGCTGGATATGTTCTTTCATTGCTTTTTTGGCAAATCGAGCTACTGTGTTCTTAAAAAAGAGCCATAAAATGAATTTCCCATATGCCGGACGCTTCTGATACGTGAGTCGCTGTCCGTTGTATTTTGATATCTGCTGTGGCGAGGCTGATTATGCAAGGTTTTTTCTTGCTTGAAAAACTTCACGACAAATGTAGAAGTCCGTTTTATCAAACGGTCCATTATTGGAAAATGTTTGTGAGCAGAAATTGTATAGTGGCTGTCAATACCTGTCAAGATTATCATTGTGGATGTCAGTACTATTCATAAAGTTTTTTTCTGAATTAAGCAACACACGATTTCTATCACCTTATCTACGCTATCTCTGGTTATAGCCCCAAAGTCTTTCTTTGAAGCACCCGAATGATCAAACATGTTTTTGAGTTGAACTAAGAAAGCCTTTTTTCAAAGGCTGATTTGATCTCAATCTTGAATTCATTAGCTCGAGATATGATAACCAACTCATCAAAATGCATGTTTACACGCTGTCTGATAAAAGTGTTTGCATTGTTAATAAACAAAGTCTCGAGTAAGGAACCCTGCGGCAATCTAAATTCAGCTGCCCTGTCGGTTGGTGGTGAAATGAAACGTGACCATCTTATCTAACCTGGCTTATTGTCATACATCGAATAACCCTACACGTCATAACTAGTTCGAGTTTCCGTGTTAATAGCACTGCTATCACGGAAAAGAAAGCGAAAAGTTGAATTGGTTCAATCCAAAGTTAAAGAAGTGATACTTTCTGAAACCGCTGTTAAAAATCGAGTTAGTTTGGAGGTCAGCTTTTGCGAATTCTATTACTAATAGAAACACTAAATCGGAAAATGTACCCAAGACTTAAGAAGGCTATTGATTCAAAATTTGAATGAAAATAGGCATCAGTCACAAGAAATTCTTATTGGCCCGGTTCATGACAAGCAGAAGCTAGCAAAATAGTTTAACGCGTATTATCAACTTTTTTAAGGATTACGAGTGCTTCCCGCCTGGTAAATATAACATTAAGGTAGACAAGAAAAAGTACAATAAATTCTGATAGGTTGGAATACTTGTCAGCTGACATGTATATTCCAGGAAAGGATCAGGAATAAGTATGATTCAGAAATAAGGATCGAAGAAGCCTTGTCATAGATGGCTTGTTGCTGCAAGGCGAAAATATCCTCTATTTACAACTTACTATTCTTCCGTCTTCTATTTTATTTTTATTCGCTCTATACTTGCTCTGTTTGTGGTTTTTTTCTATCAAAACTATCTCGATTTTACTTTCATAACCTGCTCCATTATTGAATATTTTGCTGGTCTCTAATGGTAGCCATGACGCTTAGTTGCTTCGTAATCATATACTTGCTGGTTTCATTTCGCACTTCACTGTTTGTAGTTGTTTTTAATGGTAACTCACAGCTGGAGATGGAGTCTCATGTGAGGTTTGGTTGTAAGGCTTAACCCCTATTAGTGCCTACAGTTGAGTCCCTTTATCAGAATTTTAACAACTGCAACCAAATATCCGGGCTTAAACGCTAGCATTGTTTTTCGCAGTGTTATTGTATTATCCCAAGTGTTGTACCAAAATTGTCTTAGATGAAGTAATCAGAGTGTGTTTTGGACAGTTCATTTCTGCAAGTGAAACAACTAGACGGTTCCTTATGTATAAAACGCTGTTTTATGATGATGATTATTCTCTATTATTGCTAACTACCATTAACAGTTGCAGTAAATCAATGACGTCTGAGTTACTAATCGGGACACTGTAGGGTTAAGTCGGGGGTGTTGTCAATTATTCCTCTCACAAAGCCATCCTATATGACATCACAATTTTGTTTCCAACTTTCTTGCTACCTTCTTTAATGCCGTTTATAGCTTCTTCTTTTATGCCAGACTGTTCAGCAAAGCCATTTCTGCTGCAAATTGAATATGTTTTAATGGTTTTTTGTTTAATGGAACAATGGAAAGATAAACCTTTTTTCTTAATTTTGCAGAGACGACGATCGACTGATTTTAGTTACGTGTCAAATAAATGGGGCCAAAGACTCAACTTTCGTTAAAATTTCAGAAATGTTGCCTGGAAGAACAAAAAAAGAGGTACGCTCGACTCATTTTGAATATAAGATATTGTGTTTCTTGAATTACTGCAGGTTTCTTCAAACGAGATATTTGTTATTGGGAGTTTCCACTACCCGTGAATTACATGAAAAATTGAGTGCATACATTGTTATAGGTTTCTTTGATACTAGTTAACTGGTAGTGTAAAATATCTTGGTGCTAGTTGTTTTGGAAAGGTCAGAAACAAGACTGAGTAACCTATTGAGTAATCATTGCGTTAGTACATTGAAATGACTTCTTGTGGCATACAGCATTTCCTTTGGTTTTTAATCAGTTTTTTATAGAAAAGTAACAGTGTCGTGTCTTTTTAAATTAAGTTCCCTGTAGCTCTATGATTTGAACTACGCCCATTTTCGTTTCAATATTCTTTATTTTACTCTGCCCTTATTGCTCGTTACGCAAGGTTGATTTCGTGCTTGTAATTCCTAGATTCAGGAACGGTTTCTGAAGTTGATGGAGTTGCTCTCAACTGCTGCTAAAAACTGATTGTTGCCCGAGTGAAGATTTGTATATATTTTGAGCTCTAAATCTAAATCTATATATTTTAGCAAATTTTAGAATTTTTCTAACTTTTCAGTCAACCTGCAGTATTAAAGTAATTGGTTGCTTACTCCATTTGTAATATAATCTGTCATTTTATTTTTTCCCAATGTCTCCTGAGTCATCTTGAAGTTTTTTTTTCTAAAATGTCGTTCACTGTTGAGATTTTTATACTCTCAAGCTTTGCGTTTTTCTTTCTTCTGTTTGTTCATGTATACTAATTTTATGTCTACTAAAAGAAGACATTATTGGGTATACCCTTGCTAGTTGTAGAATAAAAAGATCAGTAGCCCTGTAGAAAAGTGTCGTTATTTGTATATAACTTACGATTCAGCCTCTTACAGCAAAGTAACCCTACTAGCCGGGGAATGGAGCATGTTTCTCTGTAAATATTTTCAAGTCACACACAACGCACTGATATTGTAAATAAGCATGTGCTCTTATTCCCTGTGAGACCTTTTTCATACAACAGAGGATATCTATCCAATGTGGAAAATGATGAAGCTCCTCACCGATCACTCCGACAACCAATTATCTTTATTTTTCGAAGCCAGCCTCGTTGCCCTGATTTTTACTCCCCTCCCCCCGCCCCACCTTGTACATAACACCTTGTAGAAAGAATTCATATCAAGGAAATCATTATCCCCTTGATTTCACCCTCTGTAGCCCATCTTTACCATGTAACTGTTAATCTGTTCTTTCCTTCGTTAATCATCTATTTCCCATTGGCCCTTTAACAGTCAAAAATTACGCATTGTAGCAACATGTTCTCCCCTTACCAAATTGGGGACTTTTATCTCCCCTATGTAATCATCAGTTACCGTCTCATTGTTTTTTATGTACCCCTCTGTAACCAGCTTCTTCTTTCTTATTATCTATCCTCAGCTCTATTGATGAAACCCTTTGTAATTTGTTTCTAACTGCTATACTTGTGTTTTCAAATCGGTTATTGCGTTGTTACAGTTGAAGTTAAAATTTTCGTAAACTTAGTTGAAGTAGAAAGAGAAACCCGGAAGAAATCTGTTCCTTTTGCTGTTGTTTGCTGGGTATGGATCGATTTTTCTAAATCAATGCTAGAAAGGAATAATTTTGCTCCCACTGCCAGAAACCATGACTGCCGCTTCTGTATTATAACTTCGTTTCGGACCGACTGTTTTAATAGCTTAACAAAGGGATGTGAGACTCCCTGCACCTCCCTAATTTCCACCCCCACTTACCCAAGTTGCCGGTAGCTGAAAAAGAAAGCCACAGGTTTTATTACTGCTTCATTCTAACGCCAAACTTCTTTCTTTTTCGAGACTTTGTCGATATTTTTAACAACCGTGAAGAAATGAAGCTTTGATGGCTCAAAATCACTAGAAACGTTTGTTGGCAGAAAACGGTGGGTCAAGGCTTTTCACTGCATCTATATGCAGCACATGTCCTTCTCTATACTGTCTAGAAGCTCTCTGCTGTGAAGCCTTGAAAGTACTTTCCATAATGTCCTATAACATCGGGGTTTTGCAGTCAATACATATTGTCTGCTCCGTGGGCAGAAGAAAGACATTTTGCTACCAAAGGTGTCTTGATGAACATCCTTGTTGCAATATTAAAGTAGAAACCTGCTTAGTAGTAGAAATTAGAGGAGCCTTGGTGATTGGAATGCTATAAGCCGTCTAGCAGAAACAAGGTCAACGAATACACTATGAGATGAATTTTTCCTGTCATCTATGTCATCTTGTCCTATCAAGTCGACGCCGACTTTTGGTGATGGTCATGACCTTAGCCCTCCACTTGTCCCGGTCCTTGGTGACCTCCCACAGATCTTTTAACAAGAGTTTCGTCGCCGTCTTGATGTCATCCATCCAACGCGCAACTGGCCTGCCTTTCTTTCGTTTTCCTTCCCACATTCCGAGCATTAATGACTTTTCTAGACTGTTCTCTGCCCTCATAATGTGTCCGAAGTAAGAGAGTTTTTTTTCATAATTCTTGCTTCTAACAGACATATCGGCTGTATCTCCTCAAGAACTGGTGTATTTGTTCGCCTCGCAGTCCAGGGTATTCTCAGCATCCGTCTACAGCACCACATTTCGAAACTATCCAGCTTTTTCCGTTCTGTTTTTTTCATGGTCCACGACTCGCATCCATACATGACAACAGGAAAGACCAACGCAAGGAAAGACCAACGCACTCACAACCCTAATTTTGGTATTGGTGGCTATGTTTTTGTCCTTCCAAAGTTTTGGAAGACCCGTCATTGCTGCCCTATCTAGACTCGATCCTCTTGTAATTTCCTCACGACACGTTCCATTATCCGCGATTTTTGATCCCAAAAAAAATAAAGTTGTTGACGATTTCAATGTTTTCATCTCCCAGTTTGAACTCATCGATCTGTTCTGTTACCACAACTTTCGTCTTTTTCAAGTTCAGATGTAATCCCGCCTCTGCACTACTCTTCTTCACTTGTGTGAGCACATTTACCAGTTCTTCCTTTGACCTTGCCATTAAGGTGGTGTCATCTGCATATCTAAGATTGTTAATCTTTCTCCCTACGATTCTGATACCTCCTTCCATTTCGTCTAGGTTCGCTTTCCTTATGATGAATTCACTGTACATGTTGAATAGATAAGGCAAGAGATGCAGCCTTGCCTCATTCATTTTCCAATTCCAAAGGTTTCTGTGTCACCATGGTCCGTTCTTACTTATGCCTCCTGGTTTTCGTTTAAAACATTGTCTTTAGTTCACAGAGCAAGTTGTCAAACAGTATTTACAATTTTTACCCTACTACACTGTATACATAATTCAAAAAGAATGAACGAAATGAAATGAACAAATATTCAAGCATTTTAAATATAGGTGTCGAGTTTTAGTTATACCATTGGCAAGGAGCTCGTGAAATATTCCAATCTCAAAATTTGAATATTCAACGCAGGAAAATTGTTTTATCAATAGAGAATTATAACTTCTTAAAGCATTTTGTTTTATTCCTCGTCTTTAGAATCGTGAAAAATGCTAAATTTTTTTGGCTACTGAAGATTGCTCTGCATCAATCAGTTCCCAGTCAGCTGTTAACGAGTAATAAATTAGCTTCTACTTAACACAAAGCTTGCAAAAAAAGAAAAATGCTCTTGAAAACTTTGCTTTTTCCCACCAAGTAATGCGTAAAATTAGCAATTCAATGAAAATTGCATCATGTAAATATATTTTGTTTAGGAAGCAAGGCTTTCTCGCACATAGTCTCGCAAGGCTCAATTCTGGTTCTGTTCTTGTTTACTGTTAATGTGCTATTAATGTTTAATTGGACAAGGCACTTTAAGCATTCTAAAACCATTAGAAACTCCAAAACCACTTTACACCTGTTTTGTGCACTTCAAGGTCTAATTGCAAAGAAAACCTCTGTCATGGTCACACTAGAAATTGACTGGATACAGATTTTTTGAGAAACCAAAAACCACAATCTATCTTTTTTCAATACAACTCTAAGTGAAATATTTTCCTGACCGTTGAACTTCAACCCACAGTTTCAAAATTAATGGCTTCAATTTGGCGTTTAGTATTAGCAAATATCTAGTTTTCGTAGTAGGTGCTCAAGGGTGGTGTATTGGTGGAATGGGGGCTAAAGCTCCCGCCAGATGGTCGAAAATCACACTCAACTTTATAAACCTGGGATGAGAGAGATATTTCATTCTCCTTCTCAGAAGCCTTAGCCCCTCCGCCTCCGCATATCATCTAAATTCCAATCGTGCGTTACTACTCAAAGATATGTGCGTTTTTGCAAACACCTAGAGGGCAATGAAGTCAGAAGCGAACACCTAGAGGACAATATAGGGCAATAGGACAGTGGTCTATTGTTTGAAAAAAATGGAAACATATGATATCTATTTGTTTGGTAGGAACAGGTGGGACAATTCATTGTTCTTAAAAAAAGAGACACTAAGATATTGCTTGTGAATAATTAAGTGTAACTTGGGTTGAGATAGCTTTCACTTTCCAAATTTCCAAATTGTTTTTATTTGTTTGGTAGGAACAGGTGGGACAATTCATTGTTCTTAAGAAAAGAGACATTAAGATATTGCTTGTGAATAATTAAGTGTAACTTGGGTTGAGATAGCTTTTACTTTCCAAATCAAGCATTTTTTGAAGGATCTGTAATTAGTCAACATTATAGCATTTCAAACTTAAGTTTTTCATTATTCTAATATTTCATGTTCCTAAAACAGGATAGCAGGTTGGATTCTTTTCCATACATGTTTACATTACATTTAAACAGAGCGTTACTTTTCAATTTATCTGCCTTTATGCTCGTTTTTCTGGCGTTTGTATCCTTTGCAAATTTGTTTGGATTGTCGGCGACATGAAAGTATGAGCAGTTTGCTGTCATGTAGTTATTTTCCTTTGCGCAAGAAGTTGCTTGACAAGCGAAGAATTTTGTGAGTTGAGTAGCCGTGATATGCCAACCGAAGAACAGGGGCCTAAGCTAGATGCCTTATATCTGTTGCAGAGTTTTAGTGAATCCTGCTGTCACAGTGGAAATTTCTTATGCATTTTTTATTTAAGCGTGTTAGCTACTAAATTTGTCGTATTTGCAATCCTTAATGGGGATTTAACTTTTTTTATAAATACCCTTTCATTTTTTTAATCGAATTAAAAAGTATCGGAATTTCTTAAGATTGGTAGAAAAGAATTGTTTGAGCTTTTCATAACTTTTTTATCTGACAATTTTATTTTACAGGGGCAGATGTTGGTCTTTGCATGTTTTTATTGCCCTACCCCATTTTTCAAAAACAATTATTTGTAGAGTAGAGTCAGGTCCCTAAAGGCGATTCACAAAAGTGCTTTCAATGGCGATGGAATATCAGAGGCCATTTAATCGAAAACAACTTCGAAATAGGATAATAAGAGCGTCAGAATCAGAAGGAGGCCATAAATTCTCAGAGCTGTCTAGTTTCCATACTGCTCGACCTGATGACGTAATTAGTTTACCCTAAACCTAACTCTAAACCTAACCCTAACCCTAAACCTAACCCTAACCCTAACCCTAACCCTTACCCTAACCCTAATCCTTTACTTGAAATAATTAATCATACTAATTTATGACTATTAATCATGCTTATTTATGACTATCAGGTCGAGCAGTATGGAAACTGGACAATTTCTAAATTCTCACGATAAATGACCATGATACTTGACCTAGAATGCATTAAATTCACTTTAACATACAGAAAGACGTTTTCTCAAGCGGGGCTCTGACAATCTTAAATTTCTTTGTCTTCGAGATGCTGTTGTATCAAGTTATAAGAATTGCTTCTGTTGTATATTATACGAGGCTATATTATCCAAGAATTTTTTTGTTTTTCCACTAATCACTAATTTTCACTCACTCCCCAGTCACTAATTTTTAGAATATTAACGGATTTGCTTTAAATTTAACCCAATAATGCAAAGCTTATCCTGGTCACTTTCATTAAGAAATATTCATGTCAGAAAAATTAGAACAATGGAACGAAGACGTTATCACAATTTCTCAAATTGTACAACGATGTTTCAATCAAGCGAATCTTAGCCAGCTAGAGCAGGGTAACGAAAACATTATATTATAAATAATATTGAGCATCAATTTGAATTTGGTAATACAGTTTTTAATAATAATATAAGCTGGGATTGATCGAGCAAAAACTGTTCAATGTTGTCACAAAATCTGTGTAGCTGGTAAAATGAAGATCTGTCAACAGATTTTTCTGTAGGCAAGCTTAGTAACATTTAATTACCTTACTTTATTATATACAGTAATAAAGTTTTTATATTTGTAATACAGTAATATTGACAGTTTCAGGTAAGAGCACTCACTCACCACTCCCCATTTTTCAAGAATAGGGTGCACATTTACCCCCTGTCCCCGTTGTTAAGACTACTGGCCGGATGATTCAGAATTCACAACAGTCCTGACGTCACGTCATATGATCACGTGGACATT